AGTGGGAAAGGTTCTGGAAAAGCTGGGAAAAGGCTCTGGAGAAGCGGGAATGTGTCTGGAAAAGCTGGGAAAGGCTCTGGAGGAGCGGGAATGTGTCTGGAAAAGCTGGAAAGGCTCTGGAGAAGCGGGAATGCGTCTGGAAAAGCTGGGAAAAGGCTCTGGAGAAGCGGGAATGCGTCTGGAGAAGCTGGAAAGGCTCTGGAGGAGCGGGAATGTCTGGAAAAGCTGGGAAAGGCTCTGGAGAAGCGGGAATGCGTCTGGAAAAGCTGGGAAAGGCTCTGGAGAAGCGGGAAAGGTTCTGGAAAAGCTGGAAAAGGCTCTGGAGAAGCGGGAATGCGTCTGGAAAAGCTGGAAAGGCTCTGGAGAAGTGGGAATGTGTCTGGAAAAGCTGGGAAAAGGCTCTGGAGAAGCGGGAAAGGTTCTGGAAAAGCTGGGAAAGGCTCTGGAGAAGCGGGAAAGGTTCTGGAAAAGCTGGGAAAGGCTCTGGAGAAGCGGGAATGCGTCTGGACAAGCCCAGGGTTTCCATGCAGAGGCCGCTCACGTTCCTGGCAGGTTGGGGAGGGGCCGTGGGACTCGGGCAGTGGGAAAAGTGACGCTGCTGGGGCTGGGGGGGCCGAGAGCAGCCGAGGAGCGGCGGCCCCGAAACGTTAATTCCTTCCAGCTGCTGTCAGGCTGGCAGGTTCTCAAAGGAAGTTTAATAGACTGCAGTCGTCTCCCCTCGGCCCCGTCCCCCCATCCTGCCAGGATCTGGGATTACATGAGCTGCTCTGCCTTCCAAAAAAACCAGGTTTATTTTATTTTGTTTTATTTTATTTTAATTTTTCCCCCCTTTTTGGCTCTGGGAGCGTTTTCTTTGCTGTGTGAGTGTGAGCGCACGCACGTGCGCCGTCTTCCAGCTGAACCTGCCCCTTGGATTGCAAGGGTTTTGGGGAATTTTGGGGTGGCACAGTGCAGGAGTGGGGGTTGGAATGAGGAGGAGGAGGAGGAGGGTGAAGAGGAGGAAGAGGAGGAAAAGGCTCCCTGGGCCTCCTGGCTGGAGCACTCCCCAGCTCGCCGTGTGAACGGGGAGGAAACAGGATGGAGAAAGTATTTGGAGTGGAAAATAAAAATGCTCTTCTGCTTTATTGATCGTGATTGAGGACAGAAATAGCCCAGGCTGCTGACAGCCCTCCCCACCGAGGGAGCAGCCAAATGTGGGGCTCATCCTGAGCTGCTCCAGCCATGGAAAAACCAGGAGGGGTCTGGGGAGCTCAGGGCAGGGGGATGAGGCAGGGCCGGATCCCTGCAGGATTTCCAAACCTCCCCTTGTCCCTCTTGCTCTGCCCTGGCTGCACCCAGGACAGGCTGAGCAGCCCCTGGAGTCCATCAGCAATTAAACAACAAGCTCCCATCATCAATATTCCCATTCCCATTCCCTCCAACGTCCCAGGAATAATCAATCCCCAGCAGGGATTGTAGGAAAAGGAAACCCCTGTGCTCAGCTGGCATCGGGCACTGCCCACCCCAAGGGGCACTGGCACCAAAATACTGGCTTAGGTGACCTAAAAATTAGGAATTTTAATGGATTTTAGCCAATTTAATTGAATTGTTTCACTTAAAAGACCAAACTCGGGGCCAGCCATGCTGGGGAAGGTGGGCAGGGAAGCCCAGGGTGCCCAGGAAAGCCCAGCAGGATCAACATCAGTGTGGGCATGGTGCTGCAACTCTGAGAAAACCATAAAAACCAAGTGCTGGCAGGAGAGTAATTAGTTAAAACCAAGCACATCTGTTGTTAATTAATTCCCAGGCAGGAGGGTTTAACTCTTGCCCTGCCCAGTGTTTTGCAACCTGCACGGCCAGTGCCAACTTGCATCCAGGGGAAGGGTTTAAATCAGCTTTTCAAGCCCTTTCAGGGACTTGAGTTTGCTCTGGTTCGTCATTCCCTGCTCTGGGCCACCAATCCCTGCCCTGATCCATCATTCCCACATCCCAGAACCACCCCTGGGATTTCCAGGAGCTCCTGGGGTGTGAGCAGAGCAGCCAGCACTGCCCAGGGCAGGGAATGCACCTCAGATTTGGGGTGGGGGCTGAAATAAATTTGTCTTTGCCCCTTCCAACATCCAGCCCGAGGAGCTGCTGAGGAAGGTGGGAACAGCTCTCTGAGGGCGCGTTTGCAGAGGGCAGAGAACTGGGCAGCCCAGCGCTGGTCATTGCTCTTTTATTTGCATTTTCTCAAAGGCAGCTGTCACAGCAGCGTGGACATCACACCCATGGAGGAAAACACACCAGGATGCCATCCCTGCTCTGGATGGGGACCTGCTCCTTTGGGAGCAGCATTCAAGGGCTGAGGAGGAGCAGGAGGGGGGCCGGGGGTGTGTGTGTGACCCCCACCCCACCCAGCCGGCCCTCAGGGCCCTCCTGCACTGGGGGAATCTGTTCCCCATTAAGCGGCTGCGGCTGGTGGGAGCAGCCCTGGCAGCTCCACGCTCCCTAATTAGCAGCAGAAGCGAGGCCAGGCCGGGGAAGGCCAGAACCTCCGTGCCAAGGATGCAAAGGGTTTGGAGCAGAGCCTGTGGAGCGGCTCTGAGCGACCCTGCCAGTGCCACATGGGGCCCTGAGCCCGTTTGCGCCAGGGTGGGCAGGGATGTGCATCCCACCCCTCTCTCACTGCTTTCCCGAGGGGCCACCCCCAAACCCAGCACCCCCAGCCCTCCCTGCGGGCCGTGGGGTGGAGGAAGGCTGCCCACACCATCCTCTGTGGCTCCTCTGTGCACTTGCACCACGCTGGGCTCTTGCTCACCACTAAAAATAGGATTCCCGGCCGAGCGGCAGCGCCGGAGGGCAGCGAGCCCAGATCCCCAGGCAGCCCCTGTCACTGTGACCAACTGACCCATTTGGCCTCGCTTTTTAAGTGCTTTTCCCTCCTCGCTCAGCTTCAGCCCAGGCAGCAGCTGAGCTGGGCCAGCCGGGCCTTTCCAAGGGCAGTGAGACCCTGGAGTGGGGTCGTGGTGCCTGGCCCTGGTGCCATGGCCTGGCACGGGTGGGGGTCCCAATCAGGACAGGAGTGGCCAAAACCACCCCAACTCCAAGGGCAGCAAACCCACCAACCCCAGCTCTTCCATAGAATTTGCATAATTTATTTTCTCCTTTGGGTAATTCGTGATCTGGGGCTGGCGAAGCAGCCTGGAGCAGGTGACATCCCAGGGATGGTGGGACAAGGAGCCAGGGTTTGTGCCCTTGTCACTGTGACCAACTGACCCATTTGGCCTCACTTTTAAAATGCTTTTCCCTCCTTGCTCAGCTGCAGCCCAGGCAGCAGCTGAGCTGGGCCAGCCGGGCCTTTCCAAGGGCAGTGAGACCCTGGAGTGGGGTCGTGGTCCCTGGCATGGGTGGGGGTCCCAGCCAGGGCAGGAGTGGCCAAAACCACCCCAATTCCAAGGGCAGCAAACTCACCAGCCCCAGCCCTTCCACAGGAATTTGTGTAATTTATTTTTTAATTTGGGGAATTTGTGCCCTGGGGCTGGTGGAGCAGGTGACATCCCAGGGACGGTGGGACAAGGAGCCAGGGTTTGTCCCAGGGCAGCTCAGGGTTTGTCCCAGTGGACCCCAGGGTTTGTCCTGAGAGCTGGGGCACTCCAGGACCTCAACCTGTTCCCTGGAGCCTCTTGCATTTTCCTTCCCAGCACAAGGAGCAAACAGGAGCACCCTGGGGCTTTCATTGACCTGTCCCATGTCCCCAAAGCCAGCTGGGAGCAGGATGGGCTGCAGGGACTGGGGACACAGAGCCTCTGTCCCCAGGGAGTGCCCTGCAGAGCACGTGCTGGGCCAGCTGCCAGTCAGAAATGAAGAAAGACTTTTATTTACAGTAAAAAGGAACCAAAAAACAAAATTAGAAAATACCGTGACACTTCCCTTCCCGTCTGCCCAGCCCATCAGGGGGTGTCTGCCACCCTCACCCAGCCACCACCTCTGTCCCTGGGGTGGTGGCATGGGGACAGCAATGCTGGGGTCACTTGGCACCAACCCAGCCACCGTGCCCCACATGCCTGGGACACACAGGGGACACAAGGGGGACACAAGGGGGACACAGAGCTTGGTGACAGCTCAACACAGCTGCAGGAAAAGCTCCCTCCAGGAGGGGCTCAGGCTGTGGGTACTGCACTTGGCAGCCAGGCTGGAGGGCAGGGCCCTGGCAGGACGTGCCCCCCACTTTGGGACACATCAAACCTGGGCACTGGGGACACTGGCAGGACGTGTCCCCCACTTTGGGACCCCAAAGTGGTCCCAGTGCCCAGGGGGCACCCAGCCTTGGTGATGTCCCTGCTCCGTGCCAACCCCTGTAACCCCCCTGGAATGCTGTCCTGGCCTGGTGGCAGCAGGATGGGCTGTCCCCAAGGCCAGGCCCCAGGGTGGCTCTACAGGACGGGTGTCCCCAGTCCAGGGGTGGCTCTATGGGATGGGCTGTCCCCAAGGCCGGGCCCTGGTATGGCTCTGAGGGACTGGATGTCCCCAAGGCCGAGCCCTGGGATGGCTGTGTGGGACAGGCTGTCTCCAGTGCTGGGGTGGCTCTGCAGGACGGGCTGTCCCCAGTGCAGGGGTGGCTCTGCAGGGTGGCTGTCCCCAGTGCTGGGGTGGCTCTGCAGGACGGGCTGTCCCCAGGGTGGCTCTGCAGGGTGGCTGTCCCCAGTGCAGGGGTGGCTCTGTGTGACGGGCACTCCTGCTCTCGGCTCAGGTGGCAGGAAGCTCCCACTGTCCCCCAGTGCTGGCAGAGGTAGAGCAGGCCAGGACACCACCAGAGCCCCCGTGGCCCCGTGTCACCCTTCCCCGGGCAGGACAGGCTCCAAGGACGAGGATTCCAGCGGGGGATTCACTCTCCTCCTCCTCCTCCTCCTCCTCCTCCTCCTCCTCCTCCTCCTCCTCCTCCTCTTCCTCCGCGAGGTCTCCCCGGGGACCAGCCAGAGCCTCCCCGCTGTGGGAGAGCTGGGGGCTCCTGGTGCAGCTCCCCCTGGCCAGAGGGGCCCTCAGGAGGAGAAGCAGAGCCCGCAGCACTCCATGCAGATCTCCAGGCAGTCGGCAGACTCGCAGCAGGCGTCGATGATGCCGCAGTCCATGTCGCAGGGCAGGTCGCAGTCCGCGCACTCGCCCGAGTTGCAGCAGCAGCAGCAGATGCAGGAATCCTCCGAGGTGCAGGAGCCGCAGGTGGCACAGTCCAGCACGATGTTGCACAGGGTCAGGAACTCGCAGAAGAGGCAGGAGAGGATGCAGTGGACGCAGCAATCTGGGGAGGGACACGGGGTGAGGCGAGGACAGGCTAGGGGAGCATCCGAGGGTGGAAATGCTCCCTCGGGAATTCATGGAAGGGAGGGGAAAAGGGGTCAGGAGAGGGTCCCCATCAACACCCAGCCCTCGAGAGAAACCGAAATTGGAGGATAGGAGATGGCCCCACTCAGCATCCACCCTGCAGAGGCTGCCAGGAGCGTCCAGGGGTCCCACTGGGCCTGGAGGGTGTCACCAAGAGATCCCAAGGGATGAGGGGCCCAGGGCTTGGAGGGTGACACCCAAGAGATCCATAGGGATGAGGGGCCCAGGGTTTGGAGGGTTACACCCAAGAGATCCCAAGGGATGAGGGGTCCAGGGCTCAGAGGATGCCACCAAGAGATCCCAAGGGATAAGGGGTCCAAGGCTCAGAGGATGCCACCCAAGAGATCCCAAGATGAGGGGTCCAGGGTTTGGAGAATGCCACCAAGAGATCCCAAGGGATGAGGGGCCCAAGGAGAACAGCTGGAAAGAGACCCCCAGGGTTCAGCAGTACCTTCTTGCGCCTCAATGGGGATGTGGGAAGAGGGTGACTTGGAGCTGCCCTTGCTCTTCTTGCTGCCCTGGCTGTTGATGGAGTGGTGTGGCTGCAGCTTGCGGGGTGGTTTTGGCACAGCCCGGCAGATCCCGTTCCCCGCGTCCCCGTTGGGCAGCAGCTGCGTGCAGGGACCTGGGGACTGCAGGGGTGACCCCACCTGGGGCTGGCCTGGAAGGGAAAAGCAGAGTGTTACCACCCCTGTCCTCTCCACAGGGAGAAATGTGTGCCCAGATCCCAGGGGAAAACGGGAATCCAGTCCCCAGCTGGACACGGGGTGAGCTGGAGGATGGATGGTCCAAGGGGATGGCTGGCACAGATGTATTTTATGAGAAATCCTTTTGCTAGGATTTTTTCTCCTGAGAAGCTGAGAGGCCTCAGAAACGAGATGTAAACAATGATTATCTGCTGCTGTGGAATGCAACAGGTGCACCTTTGATTAATCTCATGTGGTTGTTTTTAATTAATGGCCAATCACAATCCGGCTGTCTTGGACTCTGGTCAGTCACAAGATTTTATTATCATTCATTCCTTTCTATTCCTTGCTAGCCTTCTGATGAAATCCTTTCTTCTATTCTTTTAGTATAGTTTTAGTATATAATTTTCTTTTGATAGAATATATATCATAAAATCATAAAATAACAAATCAGCCTTCTGAAACATGGAGTCAAGATTCTCATCTCTTCCCTCGTCCTGGGACCCCTGTGAGCACCACCACAGATGGTCTCAAGCTACGTCAGGGAAGGTACAGGTTGGATATTAGGAAGAAATTTTTCACCAAAAGAATAATAAAGCCCTGGAATGCCCTTCCCAGGGAGGTGGTAGAATCACCACCTCTGGATGTGTTTAAATAAAGACTGGACATGGCAATTGCTACAGTCTGGTTGAGGCGTGAGGGCACAGGTTGGACTCGATGATCTGAGAGGTCTCTTCCAACCTCATCATTCTGTGATTCTGTGATTCTGTGATTCTGTGAGGGAGATGGAACAGGAGATGTAGAAAAGGCAGCTGGAGGGAAGGAGGCAAAGGCTGCAGAGAGAGAAAGGGATGGAAAACCACCAAGAAATGAAGATTTGCCAGGAAGGATGGGCTGAAAGTCATCGGAAGACCTGAAGGAGGAGATGTTCCTGCAGGGCCAGGAGGGATGAAGCCACCAAGGCTGCTGGACAGGGCTGGACAGGGCTCCTGAGTGTCCCCACTGCCCTCTGCAGAGCCACAGCAGATGAGGCACCGCTGCAGAGCAGCCGCTCCTCTCCCCAGCCTGCAGGAACCGGCCACTTCCTTGAGGTCTCGGCAACCTCTGGCTGAACTTCTCTGCAGGAGGAGGAAAATAACTCAGTTCTGTGGCTGTGCCTCCCTCCAGCCTCTCCTGCTGCAGCCCCGTGTCCTGCCAGAGCCCTTGCTCCTGCCTGCTGCCCCCACGCTGCCTCCTCATCCTCACCTGGGAGAGCACTGGGCACCAGCACAAGGTTCCAGCAGCCATCATCCTCCTCAGTAAGGCCACAAATAAAATAAAATAAAATAAAATAAAATAAAATAAAATAAAATAAAATAAAAATAAAATAAAAATTAAAAAATAAAATAATGAAAATGAAAGAAAAAAATAAAATAAAATAATAAAATAAAGTAAAAAATAAAAATAAAATAAAAATAAAATAATAAAATAAAATAATAAAATAAAATAAATAAAATAAAAATAAAAATAATAAAAAAATAAAATAAAATAAAACAAAACAAAATAAAATAAAATAAAAAATAAATTAAAAAATAAATAAAATAAAATAAAATAAAATAAAATAAAATAAAATAAAATAAAATAAAATAAAATAAATAAAATAAAACCCTGTCTAGTGGTGCTTCAGCCAAACTTTGCTTTTCCTCTCCCATGGCAGTAAACAAGGGATGATTCAGGGCAGAGGCTCGAGGGCAAAGGCACCTCTTGGCACCAGGGAACAGGAGCTGCTTTCTGTGCAGGGCACAGGCGGCCCCTGTCCTGCATCCACCAAAATAAAACAGATGGAAGGTGAAAATAAAGTGGGTGGAAGGTGAAAATAAAGCAGATGGAAGGTGAAAGACACAAGTGGATGGTGCCAGTGGCTGGTTTGACCAGGCTGAGCTGGGCTTGGGCTGCAGAGGGAGGTTAAAGTGGGAGCTTGGTCTTTGACACCCGCTGGGAACTTGAAATAACCAGAGCTGAGAGGGAAGAGTGGGCTGAGAGCAGGAGAGTGGGGGACTGGGGAGACACAAAACAGGTCTTGGATAAAACTGGGATTGTCTCCCCTTCCTAAAAATCTCATGTGTGACCGTGTTCACAGGGGTCTTATGTTGAGGGAAGAGACGAGGATCTGACTCCAGGTTTCAGAAGGTTTGATTTATTATTTTATGATATATATTATATTAAAACTACACTAAAAGAATAGAAGAAAGGATTTCATCAGAAGGCTGGCTAAGAATAGAAAAGAATGATCACAAAGGTTTGTAGCTCGGGCTCTGTGTCCAAGCCAGCTGGGCTGTGATTGGCCATTAATTAAAAACAACCACATGAGCCCAATCCCAGATGCACCTGTTGCATTGCACAGCAGCAGATAATCATTATTTAATCATTTTGTTCTTGAAGCCTCTCAGCTTCTCAGGAGGAAAAATGCTAAGGAAAGGATTTTTCACGAAAAGATGCCTGCGACACTCACGGCGTGTTCGTTCATTATGTGCCCTCATGCAGTGCCCTCTCCTGCCTTGTGTGCGCCCTGAGGTGCCCAGAGCTGTGCCAGGAAGGGGCTGAGCCTGCAGGGAGCTGGGCAGGGGCTGAGCCAAGAGCAGCAGCAGCAGCAGCCTGGGGCAGCAGCTGGATTGTCTGGGACTGCAGCAGGATGCACTTGGCGCTCCCCATTTCGCTGCATTCCTCAGATTAAACTGTTTGTAAATCAAAATCACGCTCTGGCTCCGGCCAGGGGCAGCCAAAGGCAGCCAGGAATGCCCCCCTCAAAGTTAGGGAAAATAGCTTCCAATTTTTTTAGGACACGAGGACAAAGCTTTGCTAAAAGAGGCACCTTCAGCTCCCCAGTAATGCAGGAGTGGGGGGACCGGGCCTGGAAAGGAGGATTTTGGGGAAAACTGCCTGTCTACAGCTCTTTAATAACCAAAAACCTCCTGGATGTCTGTAACCTGTAACCTGAAACCCAAAACTTTGGGTTTCCCATGGAGGTGATTCCTGGATCCCCTCAGGCTGTCCCAGGGCAGCATCACCGGGGTCCCCCTGCCCGAGCCACTGCCAGGGCTTGGAATGTTGTGGCCACCTGGGTCTGCTGCTCCTGCCTGAAGCTCAACACACAGGATGCCAAACCTGCCACCCCAGTGCTCCAAAATGCTGCAAAACTGGATCTGAGCACAGAGCTGAGCTCAGAGGGGCCAATCCTGGCATTGGTGGGCACAGACCTCACCCTGCACCCTCCAGCCTTTTCTGCCCGGTTCCTCCAGAGCCTGCACGAGCCAGGCTGGCACAGCAATGCCCCCATCCCATGGGAGAGCCTAAATGTGTTCCCCAGGGCTTGCCAAAATGGGAATAACCCCCAAAAACCAATGGTGACCCCCGCCAAGAGCAGCGCGGTGAGGAGCGGGCACAGCAGAGGTGACGCTGCTCACCAGGAGGAGGGTGCCCCAATCCCCCCCAGCCCCGGGGCCCGTGAGGGGCTGGGCTGGGCTGGGGAGGGGGCCGTGCAGGGCTGTGCTGTGACTCAGGCGTGCAGAATGTCTGTGGGCAGCCGGCCCAGCTCGCAGATGCTGCTCGAGGGCTCAGCCGCGGGAATCGAGAGCTCTGCTCTCCCTGTGAGCTCTGCTCCCCTCACTGAGCTCTGCTCTCCTCACTGAGCTCTGCTCTGCTCCCCTCACTGAGCTCTGCTCTCCCCTCTGAGCTCTGCTCTGCTCCCCTCACTGAGCTCTGCTCTCCTCTCCCTGTGAGCTCTGCTCTCCTCTCCTCACTGAGCTCTGCTCTGCTCACTGAGCTCTGCTCTCCCTGTGAGCTCTGCTCTCCTCACTGAGCTCTGCTCTCCTCAATGAGCTCTGCTCTCCCTGTGAGCTCTGCTCTGCTCTCCTCACTGAGCTCTGCTCTCCTCTCCCTGTGAGCTCTGCTCTCCTTGCTGTGTGCTCTGCTCTCCCCACTGCAGAGCCTGCATTTCCCATCTTCTCCCCTTCCCTGCCTGCTCCCTGGAGGGGCAGCCCTGTTCCCAGCCACCCTCATCCCACTGGGGAGCTTCCATCCACTTTACACCCCTTGTAAAGGGACTGGGGAGCTTCAAGAACTTTCCACCCCTCGGAAGGGGACGGGGGAGCTTCCATCCACCTAACACCCCTTGTAAAGGGACTGGGGAGCTTCCACCCATTTGGGGTTTTGGGGGATGCTCCTTTCCCAGGCAGGCTCATCCCCCTTCCCACCACACCCCCCCAGAGAACCCCAACCCTTCCCAAGCAGCTCCAGCTGCTCCGGGAGCCACCCCGGGAGCCGCCCTTCCCTTTCACCTCTCCAGGTGACTCAGGCTCGGTTCAGGCTTTGATGTGGGGAGGAACAAAGCGAGGAGGAGCCGGGCTCCCACCTCTGCCCTGCTTTGTGATGAGTCCCGAGGGCAACACTCACATGTCACAGCTTCAGGAGCACCGCAGAGCTCGGCCCGGGGGCTTTTTGTCAGCACTGCCGGGGGTTTGCCACCTTCCAGGGCTTTCAGGGATTTGTCACCTTCCACGGCTTTCTCCTTCTTCGGGGGTTTGTCACCTTCCAGGGCTTTCGGGGATTTGTCACCTTCTAGGGCTTTCTCCTTCGGGGGGTTGGCACCTTCCAGGGCTTTCAGGGATTTGTCACCTTCCAGGGGTTTCTCCTTCTTTGGCACCATGGGGCGGGCGAGGGACCGGGGACCCCTCGGGGCAGGGAGGGAGGGCTCAGGCACCTCTGCAAGAGAAAAGGGGTTGGAGCTGAAAATGGGGTTAGAGCTGAGCCCTGGGTCAGCCAAGCTCCCAGCCCTGCCCCAGACACTGCCCACGGCTCAGGGCAGGAGGTTTGGGCTCCCCTGTGTCACACAGCACACAAGGATGTCACCCAAGAGATGTCACCAAGGGAGGCACACAAGGGATGAACCCAAGGATGAATCCAAGGATGAACCCAAGGGATGAACCCAAGGGATGAACTCAAGGGATGAATCCAAGGGATGAACCCAAGGGGTGAACCCAAGGGATGAACCCAAGGATGAACCCAAGGGGTGAACCCAAGGATGAACCCAAGGGGTGAACCCAAGGGATGAACCCAAGGATGAACCCAAGGATGAATCCAAGAGATGCCACACAAGGGATGAACCCAAGGGGTGAACCCAAGGGACGAATCCAAGGGATGAATCCAAGGGATGAAGCCAAGGGATGAACCCAAGGGATGAACCCAAGGGACAAATCCAAGGGATGAATCCAAGGGATGAATCCAAGGGGTGAACCCAAGGATGAACCCAAGAATGAATCCAAGAGATGCCACACAAGGGATGAACCCAAGGGGTGAACCCAAGGGAAGCACCCAAGGGATGAACCCAAGGGATGAATCCAAGGGGTGAATCCAAGGGATGAATCCAAGGGATGAATCCAAAGGATGAACCCAAGAGATGCCACCCCAGGGAAGCACCACGTGGCGTTTGGGCAGCCCAGGACGGGCACTGGGGCTGCACCACCCCACAGCTGCTCCCCCCGCTGCAGCACCATCCCAAACAGCCTCCCTGAGCTCTCACATTCCTTCTCCAAAAAGCCAAGGGATCTGGTTACACTCAGCGGCCAGAGCTGGATTTTTCATCCCCCTTCCATGAAAGGGCCACTGTGTGCCCTGCCAGAGCTGGCTGCCACCTCCCTCATCCTCCTGCACTCCGGGGCAGCACCAACCCCTGCAGGAGCCCCCCGTGGGCAGGAAAATCCTGCAAGGAGCTGAGTTATCCCCCATGGGAGAACTCCTGGTGCCAAACACCCCCTTGCAGAAAGGCAGGAGGAGGCAGGACCACCTTCAGAGCTGCTGAATTCCCATGGGGAATTTGGGGTGCCAGGGGTGCCCGGGGGGGGCTCAGGGCCGTGCCACGCTGCCCCAGCCCCCCCAGCCCTCTGCCCATCCCCCAGAATAGCGAGGTCTTGCACAACAGGGGCTGGAACACGCTTTATATAAAACTAAATTATAGGCTGGGCAGAGGGAGGGAGAGCACAGAGCCATAATTGCCCTGGCTGGAACAGGAGCCCTGCAAGCAGCCAGGGAGGGCAGGGGAGGGGGGGAAAAAGGCCTGGGATGCTTCATTATCCTCCCTAAAACCAGGGTCCCACACAGCAGAGCCGAGGAGGTAAGGAGAGCAATTATGGATAATTAAATATCAATATTATTGAAAGGAGAAAACGAGGGAAGCTGGGGGGTTCCAGCTGCACCCCAGGATCAGCAGGAGCCTGGAAATGCTGCAGCCAGCTTGGGGTGATGCTGCTCTGCTCCACAACACTCTCCAAAGTCACCCACGTGCCTCAGTTTCCCCTCTCTGCCCTCCCCAGGGTGCAGATCCAGCCTGGGGTGCTGGGGTTTTTTTTTGGGAAGGAAAACTCATCCCAGCACAGAGCCCTGCTCACACAGAGCTCTCACAGCTGAGGAGATTCTGGGGCTCAACCAAGGGAAACCCAGCAGCTCCTGCTGAATTCTGCACAACAGCATTGGCTGCAAATCCCAATGGAGCCTGAGCACCAGATGGGAGAAAAGCCATTCCCATGGCTCTGGAAAGCCCAGAGCAAAATGGAGAGGTGAGGAGAGCAGGGGGTGAGTTAAACCCACAGCCTCTGGCATGGCCCAGCCCTGATCCAAAGGCAGAGGTGAGATCCTGATGGATGAGTGTGGGAAATGGATCACGAGGGAATGGAACATGAGGGAATGGATCATGAGGGAAATGGATCAATGGATCATGAGGGAAATGGATCAATGGATCATGAGTGTAGGAAATGGATCATGGGGAAATGGATCATGAATGTGGGAAATGGATCATGAGGGAAGTGGATCAATGGATCATGAGTGTGGGAAATGGATCATGAATGTGGGAAATGGATCACGAGGGAAATGCATCAATGGATCATGAGGGAAATGGATCAATGGATCATGGGGAAATGGATCAATGGATCATGAGGGAAATGGATCATGAGGAAATGGATCAATGGATCGTGAGTGTGGGAAATGGATCATGAGGGAAATGGATCATGAGGGAAATGGATCAATGGATCATGAGTGTGGGAAATGGATCAATGGATCATGGGGAAATGGATCATGAGGGAAATGGATCAATGGATCATGAGGAAATGGATCAATGGATCATGAGTGTGGGAAATGGATCATGAGGGAAATGGATGATGAGGGAAATGGATCAATGGATCATGAGTGTGGGAAATGGATCATGAGGATGATTGCCCTGGCCAGGAAGGGGCTGGGGGTGCAGGAGTTTTGGGGAAAAGCAAGAGATCTCTCATCCCAAGGATGCCAGAGATGAAGAGCTCTGAGTGGAGGCAGAGGTGAACCCTGAGCTCTGGTTTCTGCTGTGAGATGTCCTGAGTGTGTCCAGGGCTTAAAACCCCTCAGAAAATCACCCCCAGATCCCCTTCCCTGTGGGAAAAAGGGCTGGAAAATCAGGTGCAGTGTCAGGACCCAGCACATCCCTCTGGCTGTCCTGAGCAGCCCAGACCCCTGCCAGGGGGCTCAGAGATCCTGGCACAGAGCCCAGAATGCCCCTGTGGGTTTGATTATGACCTGTGGAACAAATTAACAACCTTAGATGAAGATCAGCAAAGCCACAACAGTTTAGGTAGAATATTAATGAAGTTATCACGGGGTGGAAAAGTAGATTTTGGGGTTTTTGGTATGGGGGTTCAGGGGGCAAGATGGAGGGAACTGGGCATGTCCAGCCTTTCTCCTTCTTCTTCTTGGCCTCCATCTCCTGCTGTGATGGTGGCACTTTTGGATTGGTTTAGAATAGAAGCTCACTGTCTAACATAGGTGATAGGTATTGGAAAGTAATTGTAAATATTGTACAGGGAGTTTTTAGTATAAAGACCATATAACACCAAATAACACCACCCCGGAGGCAGGCAGAGTGCCTGGAACTGTCCTGCTGGATGGACCTCAGCAGGGCAGGAGAAAATTTTTTATAGATAAGGAACAATAAACAACCTTGAGATAGAGAACTGAAGAGCCCTGACTCCTTCTTCAAGCACCGGGCTGGGAAAAGAGACTTAGGAACTTTTCTCGGGGTCACTGTGAGCAGCGAGAGACCCCGAGATGCCCCTGCCCCTCTGTGCCCATTCCTGGGGACAGGGACAGGCTGGAGCCCTGGCTGGGTGGATCCACAGGGATATCCAGGCTGGGCTCCAACTGGGATGGAGCCCAGGCTCATCCCTGCTGTGCCCACTTCACACTTGTAATTACCCTGCACAAGGGCTCACACACAACCACAGGCAGGCAGGGAGGAAGGTGGCAATTAAATTAACTCCCCCGGGAACAAGCTGGCCAGGAGAGGGACAGAAATAGCCAGGAATGAAGTTTGGGTGAGCTGATCCTTCCCTGCCTCACACAGCCTCGCATCCCACGGGCTGAATGCGGGGATGGGGTGGGGAAGGACCCAGGGAGGGGCTGGGAGAAGCTGGGCAAGTGTGGGGTCAGCACAGACCCCACAGCTCCCTGCCCATCGGGATCCAGGGGGAAATGCAGGGGGAATGTTCAGGGAAATGAAGAGGGAATGGGAAATGCAGGGGGAATGTTCAGGGAAATGAAGAGAGAATGATCAGGGAAATGAAGAGGGAATGATCAGGGAAAGGCAGAGGGAATGGGAAATGCAGGGGGAATGTTCAGGGAAATGCAGGGGGAATGTTCAGGGAAATGAAGAGGGAATGATCAGGGAAAGGCAGAGGGAATGGGAAATGCAGGGGGAATGTTCAGGGAAATGAAGAGGGAATGCTCTGGGAAGGGCACAGGGAATGGGAAATGCAGGCGGAATGCCCTGAGCAATGCAGAGAGAATGCCCAGGGAAAGGCAGAGGAAATGCCCAGGGAAGGGCACAGGGAATGCCCAGGGAAAAGGAGGGGGAATATTCAGGAAAATGAGGAGGGAATGCTCTGGGAAGTGCACAGGGAAATGCCCTGGGAAATGCAGAGAGAATGCCCTGGGAAAGGCACAGGGAAATGCCCTGGGAAATGCAGAGGGAATGCTTTGGGAAAGGCACAGGGAATGCTTTGGGAAGGGCACAGGGAATGCTTTGGGAAATGCACAGGGAATGCTTGGGAAAGGCACAGGGAATGCTTTGGGAAATGCTTTGGGAATGCTCTGGGAAGGGCACAGGGAATGCTTTGGGAAAGGCACAGGGAATGCCCTGGGAAAGGCACAGGGAATGCTTTGGGAAAGGCACAGGGAATGCTTTGGGAAATGCACAGGGAATGCCCTGGGAAAGGCACAGGGAATGCTTTGGGAAAGGCACAGGGAATGCTTTGGGAAATGCTTTGGGAAAGGCACAGGGAATGCTTTGGGAAATGCTGGAGCAGCAGCTCCCAAACGCCCCCAGGCAGAGGCCGCAGCTCTGCTGGCACAGGAGGAGCTGAACAGGCCCTTCCATCACCAGGCTCATCCCACAGCTCCCTCTCCTTTAAATTCCCCAGTCCCTGCCAAGCTGAGCCTCCCCTGGACGCCTCCTCCCTGCTGCCCCCAGAACAGGACCAGGCTTGACCTGAATCCATCAGGTTTAAAACCAATTGTGAGCCTGGGCTGAACCCTGAGGCCAGGCAGCCCTTGGGATGGGACATCTCTGACTTTTCCCCAAAACTCCTGCACTTCAGACCCTTTCTGGCCAGGGCAAATCCTCCTCAGAGCCCGGGATGAGTCCTGGAGGAGCAAAAGGGAGATGTGGCAGAGCAGCTCAGAGCTCTGGATTTTGGGAACAGGGGTAACGAGGCATTCCAAAACCAATAACCTCAATAAATCACAGCACTGCCCCAAGGTACCAGAGATCAGCAAAGTGATAAATGTGGGGCTGCTTTCTCTGGCCAAGCCCAGGACACGCACATGGAGCCGATTTTCTGATTATTGTCCCCGATCCCAAAGTCCAAATCCATCAGTCATGGAAGTCCTGAGACACCAGGGAGCTCCAAAATCCATCAGGGGGGTGGGAGAACAGGACAGGAGAGAGGAGAGATGGAAAGAAACTGGAAGTTCATGGCTGGAACTGCAGAATTCCTGCAAATTCCAAAGTTTCTACATCCCTCTGGGGGATGCAGGAGCTTCTGTGGAAAAGATCTTTGCGCTCCCAGTGGGAATTCCTGAGCTCAGCATTCCCAAAGAGCTGCACAAACAAAAGGCAGGAGCAGCATCCTGGAGGGAGCACAAACAGGAGCCACAGCACAGCAAAATCTGGGGGTTCCCTTCTCCCTTCCTGCACTGCCCAGAACCCCAGAGGCAAAGCTGGAGCTGTGGTTTGGGGTCCAGACTGGAATTCAATCCCGGTCTGGGCTTTTTTTCCTGTTGTTTTCCCATTGTTTTCCCCCATTCTCTGTCCCCACAGCGTGTTTGGGATGGTTTATGTTGGTTTTGGGATGGTTTATGTTGGATTTGGGATGAGGATGGGTGCTGGGAGATGAGGAAAGGAACCTGCTCCTTCCCAGCTTTGTGTCCTGGGAAGTTTTGTTGTCCCTTAAAAATTCCTCTTTCCCTTGCAGCTCCGCACTGCAATGGTGCCTTAATACCTATAAAATGTAAATATATTTACATTAAATCAGGTTTTGCTGCAAAAGGAATCATTCCTCCCAAATTGCTGCAGGGGAGATGCCCAAGATCCAGCCCAGCTTCGCTTCCCACCTGGAAAACCTTTGGCCTCACCTGGGCAAAGCTTTGGATAAACAGGAACAGCGAGGAATGCAGTCAAAAAACAAAGTGGTTTCCATGAAAAGTGACTTCCTAAATGCACAAAAAGCAAAACAAAGCACAAAAAAAAAATACCCACAAAAACCCC